AATCATATTTGACCTCTGACCTCTCCTTCAAAGAGAAGGTGATAATAATGCTATAGAGCTATTTAAAACTGCTCCCTACTTCCATCGTTTGTATTGATGACATAAAGGCATATGGGGATTCTAAATATCTCATTATAGATTGAAATCAAATATGAGTCACATCTCTGAACTCACTTTTACATTTCAGGTCTGCATTTTGCTCAAGTTTTAGGGGCCTTTTGAGTCATTTTGTTTAATTATAATTTTGTTATATTATGACTATATTTATTTTTTTGCATCGCTTGTGTTGGTTTGTATCAGTTTTGGGTACTGTTTTTTTGTAACTTTTCATCCATTTACTGTTGTTTTGTGCAATTCGGTGTCTTTTGGGTGTTGTACACAAGTTCCAGGAGCCTCCGGCAATTATTGGAAACATTTATGTATTGGTTTCTGCCATAGCGCCCATCAAACTTTAAAATATCCCACTCTGATGCCTTGTAAACTACAAAGTAAGCAGAACTAAGCAGCTCATCACAATGATAAGTTGTTGTGTGATGCACTGTTTGACGGAATTTAATAGAAAACTGAGAGTCGGCAGATTTCCGCAGCAAACAAACGCAGCAGAGGCTGATTTCACTGATTATCGCAGCTTTAATCTGAGGAGAGGGAGCTAATTACTGGAAGGAGCTGATGCAGTGAAAACCTGCTGAGTGCAATTCCGCACAAAACCCGCCTGAACTGAACAAAACAACAAGCGGCGGGAGCAGCACCTTCCTGGGTCCGATGTGGCTGAGCTCCATCACAGTCAGAGTGTAGTTGGTTCGATGTCCGCGCTCATCGAACTGGACGTGACCCGTCAGCCCCTCCAGACGAACCTGTCAGCACAAAGAAAAGCAAAGCCAAAATGAAAAACTGCAGGATTTCATAACTAGAAGAGCTCGGCAGCACTGATGGAGCGAGCCCGTTATTTCTGCTTTTAACACTTACATTGATTTTAAATTCCTCTGTGTTTAAAGTGCTTCACGCTCCGTTTGTCTGACATGTTTTTCGATCTACAGACCAGGACATTTCTGGGACATTTCAGGACAAAACTTTCATTTTTCATTTCCTCTGAGCTGGTGGAGCAGCCTGGGGATCTGAGAACAGCTCGGAGTTAATATTTACTTTCTCAGAGGACCTAAAAATATTGGTGTTTTTAAAGAGGGAGTATCCTCCTTTCTATACGTGATTTACAGTTCAAAATAATCCTTATTTATCTCCCTTTAAACTAACTTTTCTGATTGGCTGTTTTTCACAAACACAAGCTTTGAACAGCAGGTGGGCGGGGCTTCTGTGG